CCTTTTACACTACCCTTGGATAATTCTCAAAAATAGTATGAAATATATTAAGAAATCACTACAGGAGATCTCACAGCATGTGAACAGCCACTACACTTAATTTATGTGGAAACAGCAGGATTCAGTTCTCTAATGTTATTGTCACTTACTTGTAAAATTGTGCTGGTGCCACACAAATTCTAAAGAATGAGTTAAAAGACCAAACATGTCATAAAATGTTTGAGATAAAAGAGAGAAGTATAAAAATCAACTCAATGAACCCATTTGCTGGGGCCTGCCTTCACTCATACTGTGAATTTTGCCTTTGCTAATAGAAGCAGGATCAAGCCCCAGGGAAAACTTGTTGAGATGTCACACTTTTGTTCATCATTATTACCCCTCGTGTCTCCAGTCTGCCAGCAATAGAAGGTGCTTAATTTTAAGCCTATGAATAGTCCACAGAAATCAACAGAATTGCCTACTTAAAGATAATTGTGCTCTCTGAAACTAAACCCACAGTGTGACTTATTCTCATGTTTGTCACTTTAAAGTGCCTAAATCTAATACCAAAATGTTACCAGTCTGCTTAGCACCAGTACTCAGCTGCAGCAGGACCTGTTGTTACTGCAGTTTCCAGTGGGACGCATGTGCAAAACTGGCTAATTATTGCCAAAATCAATCAGATTGAAACTGGAGGGCACTGGGAATGTCAAGTCTTATGAAAAAGAAAAAAAATGCATAAGGCTTTTATTTGAAAGAAATCATTAAAATTATGATCTTGAGATAATAAGAACAATACATTCAAAAATCTGAATGATTCCTCTGCAGGAATACAGGCTAAAATTTTGCAAACTGAAGAAGTCGTTAAAGAACTAAATTGTTTCACTGTCCCATATTCAAATAATGTATTAAAAAATATATAAAGCTTCTGGAGTGGTGATGTTTATAATTGTTTATGCAAAAAGTTTTGAAATTATTGCTGATATTTTTAAAAATTATTATTAATAATTCTGATTCTTTACTCTTCTTATTTGCTTAGTACTGGCAAGTAGATTGGTATAGTAAATATGAAGCTGCAACACAAAAAGAAAGATATAGCGTGTTCAGATATTTTATTTTAGTTTTCCTTCAGCTTAACAGAGGAGTTAAATTCTTGATCAAATGCATTTGAAATTCTTGCTGCTTTCGTGAGCTCAGCAACTTCACTGTCACTCTTCTTCATTTCATGACTGTATGTTGTTCTGAATTTATGTATACTGGTTGTCCAGTATGGAAAAAAGTGATACTTCTTTAATTATGAAACTTCTGCATTTCATCAATTCAGTCAATTTTCCAAGGTGTCCTTATTCTATAAATTCAATAGAAATTGTAATTACATTTAAACAATTTAATCTAAATTCAAACATCACTCTTTACCCAGATTTTTGCCGTCACCTAAAATAGTATTTTTGCTTCTGTGCTTTGCTCTTAGAGTGTATAAAGACACTTTTATTTCTTTTTAACAATATTTGCAAAGCACGTAGCATTATTTTTTGTTCAGGATGCTTCAGAAGTTTTCACTACTACCCAACTGCCCTTTACTGATTCATTGTTCACAGCTGCATGGGTTATTTTGTTGGTAATGAATGGTAAAAACATAAATAAATTTTTGCTTAGATATATAAACAATAACCACTTCACCATTCACACAGCAAGAGTATTTAACATCTTAAGAGTAAACTTAGAATGAAGGTTTTTAGTTGCAAAGGGAAATTGAAATCAGTTGCTGTAGTTCACAATCTTCCAAGATATAAACCACTTGCTCATAAATGCAATGATTCTTTAATTAAACCTGTAAAAGTAGTTTAAACAGTAGTGTTTGACAAAGGCAGATTTTTTGTTGTTTTAGATAAACATCATATTTTAAACATCATATTTTTCCAGCCACAGACTGGAAAACTAACCAGAACTGTTCGTTTCCTTGGTGAGATGGTGTCAATGGTGGTCAAATATGTTGTCCACTAAGGAAATGATTTCTAGCTTCTTTAGCTACCACTGGAAATGTGCCTTAAGAGTTTCTATCAAGTAATTTATAAAAAGCACAAGTTCTAATCGTGAGTGTATGTGTAGTGTTTTCAAAAATGGATCATTAATGAATTATAGCAGACAAATTCAAGATCACTTTCTTCAGATGTAAAAATTTATTTTATTCTGAAATTAACCAACTCATTCTTAGCAACAGTGATCTCATTTTAGTAAATTTCCTGATACCTTTAAGTCAGAATGCTTCCAGTATAGCCAATAGTTGTATTATTCTAATTTGCATAATTCAGATCAGGAAAACAAGAAACTTTTTTGAACTGAACATGATATAAATATCATTTTTTTTCTGAGTACCCACTTGGAAACATATTATGAGCATAACTGAATTTATTGCTATTCCCAAGAGGAATTCTTTTAGCAAGAACAAATCAGAATCACCTTAGAAACATGAAAATACCATGTATCTGTTTTTCAAATATATCACTAAACTGCACACAAAAGAAACGAATACTTATTAATAGCGGCAAAAACACTGAATGCTGAGTATGATTGTCACAGCTCAGTACACGTGAAGTTAAAAAAAGATGTAACTGGCTAATATGAATATGTTGGTATGAAATGTGTTTTTGAAATCTGTTGACGCTGATCTGATTGTGGCTTCAGTGAAGTTATTAGCATAATGTATGATGATGGATAATGAGCAAAGAGTTGAAAAAATATTTAAGTAAATTAAAATAATAATAATAATAATAATGTGTTGCCAGCCTAAATATCTGTTCCTTTTTTTTTCTTTTTTTTTTTTTTTGTTTTCCTTTTTTTTTGTTGTTTTTTATTTTTTGTTTTAGATTTCTGTTTTACTGCTGTATTTAAGAATGTCAATGGATGGCAAAACTCATATGGCTTGGATCTAATTGCGGTTGGTTTACTGATTTTGGTAATGCCATGATTAACCAGTAATCAGTGAGCTGTATGTTCAGGATCAATAGCAGCTATGCAACTGAAAAACCGCAACGACCACACATACATAAACAAATATCTAAACGGTCCTCTACAAGTAAACCTGAAGTTTTCTGATAAGCACAGTACTGTAACAGCTACTCTGGTGTGGTGCATGCCTTCTTCAGACAATAGTTTTGAGTGTCCTTTCACATATATTCCTCTTTGCCAAGACTCAAGGTACCTCTTCTGTCTACACTTTCACTAATTCACAAATATTGACCCTATGCATTTACTTATTTACTTATTTGTTTGTTTTAAGGAACTGTAGTCATCTTATGATTCTCCCATTTATTTTTTAAATGAGTCCCTACCTTTTCTGTCTTGTTCACCCTGATATCCAATCACCACTGTTTACTAAAAAAACGGAATTTTTATACTACAGAAAATTTGAGGGGAGAAAAACAAACAGCTTTTGAATACAAAAATGAAAGTACGGAACATCTCTGGAAAGGCAAGCACTCGATGGCATGTACTTAGCAGTGAAACAATTACATTATTTCTAATATTTATCTTAGACACCAAGATCTGCATCTTGCTTCAATCCCTACTTTGTCATCTATATGCATGTCCTAACAATCTCAAACTCTTCAGGAGTCAGATTTGAAATTTTTCAAAGGCAAAATATGCTTCTAATTCATCCAAGCATATAAAGATATATATCCTTTTTTCACATGTCCTGGTTTCAACAAATCAGATTTTTTAAATCAAAAGACATTTCTAGTGGCCTGAGATGCATGATTAACATGGCCAAAACACAGCTTTTGTTTTCCCATTTTCTAGGTTTGCCTTCCTATAGCCATCGCTTCTCCCTCAGTTTTTCCATCTGCAGTGTACACTACTTTTTATTTTTACTTCTTCGTTCCCATTTGTGCAGTGCTCTGTTGTGATAGCCAGCCCAGGTCTGATCTCCAGAGGAAGAAGGAAATGATTCCCTCCTCTGATGGTATTTCAGTTGCCCAGGTTCAGTTGTAGGCTTTCAGCTCACTGTTGTGCCTCTTGCGTGATCTTCCACCTGCTATACTCTGGTCTCTGGTCCCTCTTCTGGAAAGAAAAGTCTGATCAGGGCAGAAAAGTTTTCAGCCACATCTCCAGGGTAATGAAAAGAGAATATTTCAGGGGATTAGAGGGGGCTGTGCAGATCTTGCTGCAACTCTGAAAGTCCCTGGCTTAGCTGAAGCCAAGTCAGAAAACAAGGACACACAGATGCTAGAGGTGGGAGAGGCATTGCATTAAAACTGTGATCTGTCCTCCCTGACCAATCTGACTTTATTTAAAAAACAAGTCATTTTAATCTTTAAAAAAACTAATCTTGTCTTTTTCTAGTAAAAATCTTTCAGTTTTCCTTAGGAAACAAGACATAAGGAAAATGTCTAGATAGGTATATCTTACACGTGTAGGTAGTTTAGGGTTAGAATCTGTCATTCTCTGTGAGCTAAACTTACAAGTTTTTCTTAGAGCCATATTACAGATAATATCTTTTATTCAGATCTTGGCCCTGAGGTCTGCCAACCTGTCTTTCCATTTTTACCTATGTAATAATTTTAAGGTCATCTTTTTATATCTTTCCAGTATGCCCAGGGTCTGTATTAAGTGTTGTGTGCCTCACATATTACAGTTTCCTCTTCTTTAGTCTGAATGATATCTCTACTTCTCTGTTCCCTTCTGTTTAAAATGTTGCTGTTAATATTAGCTCCCTAGGTGGTTTTTATGGTCTCAGTCTCCTTTTTTTCCTCTACTAGTTCCTTCCAGCATAGAATATAATAAAGGTGGGGAGGAAAAAAAGACAATTTTGTTACTCATAAATTTGAAAAGGAGATGGAGGGAGGAAAATAAAATTGAGATGACAATAAATGATACAATTTTGAAATGTCAACATTTTTCTGAAGTTCTTTGAGTATTTCTTAATTGCTAAGGGGAAAAAAAAAATTGGCTGAAATGGTGATATCCACATTATTATTAAATTAAATGGCTTTGTCTTTTTTTATATATGTATTTTTTAGGTCCGAACATGGATTCTTACAGTGGGATATACAACTGCATTTGGTGCAATGTTTGCAAAAACATGGAGAGTTCATGCCATTTTCAAAAATGTAAAAATGAAGAAAAAGGTGAGGGGAAGTTCTCATTATTCTGTTAATACCATTATCTAACTGTTTTGTTGCATGTTCTGGTTTGCTAGGTTTGCTGACTCTGTTCACCTGTCACATCTAAGTATCCTTAACAGTTTGATACTTGGGCTTTCTTGATCTCCTTTAATAGCGTGAGAGTGGGAACCAAGCAGCAGCTGCGACCTAAGTGCATTCTGTCCTCACTCTTGTTTGGTATGCGGTGTAAGCACTCAGAAGACTTACAGATTCAGAACTGTTAGGAAATGCTTCCTGTATATCTTTTTGGGATGTAGGTATTACACACAAGTTTCTCATGGGTTGGTAGGAAAAGGCAAACAACAGTGCTACTTATGTAGATTTCTATTTCTAATTTTGATTTGAAATTGCACGAGCTTTGTTTTCGACTGATCAAAAAGAAACCACAGCAGTTATCTCATATATTTCTAATGTAGAATATTAGAATGAGAATATAGATTCATATAGAATATGAATGATTAGGTCTAGGCTTAGCTATAATGCAACTCTTCATGTTTTTACTGTTCATTTTACTTTTCCCATGGAGCTTCTTTTTACACATAAAGTGCTTCTGGTAACATGGTTTCATTTAAAAGTGAGGAAACGGAAGAATAGAAAACATGTTGATGTAAAGAGAAACATTAAGAGAACTGTGAATGAAACAGAAAAATAAAATTACTATAATGTAAAAGTACCAAATACAGTTCCTCTATACAGCTAAATATATTTACTCTAGTAAGTGATAAAGAGGCATTTACACCCAAAATAAGGAAAACAATATCCAAAACCTCTCCAAAACTTATTGTTAGTGGGGATTTGGTTGGTTGATTGGTTGGTTGGTCTTCTGTGTTGTTGTGGTAGGGTTTTCTTACTTTAGTTTGGATTGTGATTTATTTGTTTGTTCTCCCATCTTTGTGTGATCATTGAAGAGCTGTAATTTGTTGCTATTGTTGCTGTTAGTACCTGTCTTATTGTTTACACAGCTGGAATGTATAGGGAGTTACTGTCTCTGGGAGACACAATATTCTTTAGAATGAATAGAGGGCGAATTAGCTCGATTTCTTAGAGGACTTTTGTTAGTAGGTCGAGTCTTTCTCTCTACTGTTCTAGAGTATAGAACCTGATCGGGTCAGGTCTATTTAAATATTTGCTAATGAAATCCTGAATATTAATCAATGTATAAAATAAATAAGAGTAAATAACTAATATCTAAAAATTAATTACAATTCTAAGTAGAGTCTGTACCCAAAACAGAATGCCCTGGGTGGATGAAATTGGAGACTACCCTTTGTGAACATCTGCAGATTTATCTGCTTATGCTCCCAGAGTCTAATATTTTCAACAGTCTTAGACTTTTCACCCAAGTCTGAGCCAATAATTCACTCTCTTGAAAAACAAAATTTCGTATAGCAAATATGCTTTTAGCTATATTGATACAAATCATTGTAAATTTGTGGTTACACAAAATACTGCCAGTGCAACACATAAAATCACTTAATAAATTTGATTATATTGAAAATTTTATCATTTTTACAGTATATGCTATTCCAGATAGGAATGAACAGTACTTCAATAGACTGTTATAAAGTGTTTACTTTATGTTGTTGTTGTTGTTGTTGTTGTTAAGAAAAATTTAATTTTAGAGCTACAAGTTGCAACTTCACAATAATACTCAATGTCCGTTAATTAAACATCATCCTCAAGTTCTGCATAGTGCCTGTTCCTTGACAAGCCCATCAACAATGGCAGATTGCAGTTGCTTATTTGCAACTGAAGGGTGAAAACGTTTTAAGGTCAGTAGCAGTGTAAGGAGGATGAACTTCTAGTCATTTAGATGCTGACCAATAAGTTCTTTTCTTTGAGTGATTCTGGAAGCATCAAGGGTATCAGGATTATTAAATGTATTGAGATTAAGATAAGAATACATTTGGTTCTGTGAACTGTAAAGAATGAAATACATTTGGTTCTGTGAACTGTAAAGAATGACTGTTCCACAGAATAATCTTGGTTTGCATTGTTGAATATCTTGTCCAGAGCACAGGCATGCATCTTCAAAAATATCCTTCTTGAAAGAAAATGTAAAACAAACTAGCTATCTGCAGTAAATACATGTGTTTTCTATCTTTGATTTCCCAAGACAGATAAAACTGTATTTAAGAGCTGATTCAAAACCATGGCATTCTTTACTTATGTATTGTAAGACATTTCCATTTTCAGTAGATGTAGTTTACAGACAAAGCATTTTGTGTCTATTAAAGCACAGACAATACAAATTTTCACAAACAATCTCTAAGCTGACAAAACATCATAGCTTTTGCAAGAAAAAGGAAAAAAGCCACATTAGTGCTTTTGGAATTAGCTTTGCCATGTCAGAGCAGACTGCCATTTCAGTACAAGGTGTGCAAAGTTCCAAAATTGTTTAAATACTTTACCTTCTGTTCATCTGTGGTCAGTTCAGTTTCCACTTCCAAATAAATATGTTAGTATAATCTTACATTACATATATTTACACCAGTTTTGCTTTTAATCCTGGATATCGTCATCGGGAAACTTTCCAAACTGAGATATTTTTTTTCACAGAAGGAAAATATTTCTCCATTGCTTTTGACAATTTTTACTTATTCATTTAATGGGAGTGAGTATTAAGGGAGGGAAAGAAGAATAGTGAAGCTATTAATCTTCATCACATAGGGCAAGATTGCTTCTAAATTTTTGCTGAGCACCTACCTTAATATACAACATAACTTTATGAAGAGTGAAGAAATGAGTGGATTTTTCTCTTGTTGTGAGCAAATGTATATAATTTTAAATAATAGTACACTATAGCATCATTCAAGTGTAGTGGAGAGTAGAAGCAATTGATTTACAATGTCTTGAATTAGGTGAAGTTTTTTATTAACTTCTCTCAGAATTCTCTTTTGTTTTCAACCTTTATGAACCCACTTGCTTATCAGAAAAATCAGAATGCCCTCCTTCAGCTTTCGGGCTGCTAACTGACACATTTTGCAGGACTCCCAAAGTTCTGTTTACCATCTTTGATCTCACCAGGACTCAGTGGAAGCAAATTAAAAACGTTTTAATTTTATCTGGATCTGAAACAGAGAGGTGCAACAGAATCAATTTTTGTTAAATGAAAATGATAAAAACAGTAGGGGGAAATAGCTTTTTTTTTTTCTTATTTTTAAAGACTTTTTTTTAAGATGTTAGAAAGTAGAACGGAATTTACATTAAAAATAAGCAAAATACTCATCAGTGAGTGGTAGTTCTGTTTTCGGTAGGACCCCTTACTGTTGGTTTATATGCCAGAACATCTGCTTGGTGCAAGGTGGGGACTGCCTTTATGTTTTCCTGAGCAGCAGAGGAGGACTGGCTGCAGGCAAGATGAGAGAGAATAGCAGTAATGGGAAAGAAAAGCATGTGGTGTGCTGGTGAAGCTAGCTGAACCATTTGCAGATGCCAGTCCTTCTGGTGAAATTTAAAAGGCTGTAAAGTTGTCTTTTTTTCTGGAAGCTTTGCTGTCCCTAGAGGTGCAGGTCTCAGGGGGCTTTCAAGCAGTCCTGCATAGCGACAAACATCACCAGTGCTCAAAGCAGACTGTTCACTTCTGACAAAGACCAGAACAGTAACAAATTCAAGCCAATGTTTTTTAAAGACTCCATAAACTTTATATATTCTGCTCCTACAAAGACAAGTATTTGTCCACTTGAAGGTGAATACAATAAAGCATTATTATCTACGCCACAGTGCTGCACAATGTGCAGTTCATATTTGAAAGCATAATACTTCACTGTTGGTATTGCTTTGGTAATCTTGTCCTACCTATAACACACTTCATTTTAGCATTGCCTATTTGCACTTCATCCCTTAAATATGAAATCCAGGGAGGGATATTCAATGTTTCATTTCCCACAGAAAATTCTGTAAATGTACATTATTACTACCACTGTAGACTTCTGGTGGTATATACCTTTACATTGCATTATTACCAGGTAAATACAGAATATAATTACACAAGGAGTTGCATAGCAGAATCCTTGCTTAAGACTTGTGCTGCTGTAGTTTTGCCAATGCTATCCTGCTATTTGATTATATGTTGTAAGCTTTCCTCTGTTATTAAACTTAGTCTGTGATTATACATTTCTCACAGGTGAGATAGGCTTAAAAAGCATAACAAGTTTTGAGGATGAGATACGGTTGCTAGCTTAGTGTTAGAAAGCTACAAACAACCACAAGAGAAATGACTTGCAGGTTTGACTTTACTTAGCTATGCCTGGCAGACTGCTGTTAGGCTGTGGCGGTCTTATTTTCTTATGTTGAATCTAATGAGTCCTTAAAGACTTCTGGAGAGGGTAGTGGTGTTCATGCATCATCAAGAAAGGTGCTTGTATGGGCTGCTGTATCAATGCTAGCAAGGCAAAAGAAGCCTAGCACTTGAACTGTGGGGCCACAAGGCATGGAGGGGGGGGAAGGGGCTGAACATAAGGAATCAGATTCTCTACAAAGGGCTTTTGTAAGAACTGAATGTGGATAGAAAGAATAGGGGAAATCTTGTGATTATAAATTAGTATAATAGTTGGCAAGCAAATGAAGGAAGAACAAATTTAGATAAGAATTCCCTAAGAGTTAAAATGCAATTGAGAGACAGCAAGGAATTGAATGGGAGAATAGGGGCTGCTCAGCAAAAAGTGGTCAGGAAAACTGAGTGTGTTAGAATGAAGAGCCAGTGGCTGGGATTCAGACTGTAGCTGACGGACCAGGTCTGGTTTAGAATTAATTTACCATTGAAATTCAGAGACAGACAGGGAAAATAGGGATATAATAGAAGGGAAAAGCAGCATCAAAGGGAGAAAAGATTAAGAGGGAAGAAAAAAAATGAAATTAGAACTGACTGCAGTGGGTGCAGAGAATGTGGGCTTCTTCTCAGAGCATATAAGTTGAATAGGGATGTTTTACAGTTTTGCCACACTTTTTCTATTACTAAGTAT